GAAGACCACCGGTAGTAGAGAAGTCGAATTCATCAAACTCTCTTTTGTAGACCGTGATATTTTCGAATGTCTCCTTAAGATTTGCTTTTTCTGACTTTTGTTCGGCCTCGTATGAATGCAACAATCCCTCATGTAGAATTTCGACGTCGGCAATGGAACGGCAAATGATAAGAACAGATCTTAATGCCAGCACTTGATCACATGTCTCATTGTAAATTTCCTTAATCCACTCTTGAACCGTTGCTGCCAGTACGGGCGCATTCTCGTTGAACGCCTTTGCTTTCCATGTAGGAATCCGCACTAGATCGGCATTATACAATGTAATCAGACTTCTACTCTCCTCCTTCGATCCCAGTGTACCACTAAACCCGTTTAACCTTGTATAACCTTTTAGGTAGGATACGTTGGAAACGAAAACAGCTTTTAAACTCAATGGCGATAGACGACAGCCGTGTTTCAATTGTAGGAACTGATGAAGTCCTCCGCTCCACTGAGATGATGTTAAGTCAGTACCAGTACCTCGATCGATGATAGTGACAAGAGGCTGCAGATCTCCGCTTGTTCCAGTGTGGTCGAGATCGACTACATATTCGTCGTTGGGTTTTAAGAACATGGCCTTTTGCGCGCTATCGATGAACTCGTCGAGATGAGCAAGAGCAAAATTTCGAAGATATCTGGGCATTGTGATCTCTTTTGTGCGATTCAGCACGATGGTTATCATTGCTAGCACCCGACCAGCTAAATTGGTCCCACACTCATTCCTAAGCTCTTTTGCAAGGCTTTTAATATCTGCGGCGTCTGGGAGACCCACAACACCATCCTCATTAATGATGCTGTTTTTCAAGAGAAGACGCCAGATTACACCAATATCTGAGTTTTTCCTGTCATCGTCCACAAGACCGCCTACGTCTTTCTTCGTTATTAATCCACACATATCCATAAGTACCTTCTTTCGAAGTTCTTGTGAACTGAATTGTTCGCCTCCAGCAAACGTAGGCATGTTCACATGCTTATGAATGAACACGAACAATGACTCGAGAAGCTCAAGACCGGGTATATTGTGTGAGAGATAAAGCATATTGCTACCGTTATCAAGTAGCATACTGTCCACTTCATCTACAATTACATTACGTCGTACGCGTGAACCTAAGATATTTCTTTTATAGAAATTATGCAGAAGGTAATCTCTCTCAAATCGAGTTATATCTCCGTAGACAACATTGCACTTGTATGCATTTTTTCGTTTATCCACATCCTCATCACAATTGTGTGAGACAGTAATTCCGAACGATTTGTAGATGTCTCGCATGTGCTCTGCATCTCTTTGAGCCAAAACCGAAGAACTTGTAATGATGTCGACAGTCTC